CTGTGGGGAGCACCCTGTCCCCCAGCCAGGCTCCCAGCCCTGCTCCGCCTGGGTAAGTAGTGGGGCAGGGGTGGGGGTAAAATGAGCCCCTGGCGCGAGCCAGCACACTGGGGCTGGGGCTGCCAGGGCTTGTTACTGACAAGGTCCCGGAATCCCGCGCCAGATGGGCCGTGGGCTGGGCCTGGAGTCCTCCTCTACCAGTCACTGCTCCTGCAAAGGGGGCTCCAGGCGGCCAGAGATTTCCCATCGCTTCAGGCTCCTCAGGTTTTCTGCAACTAAATCCCTGGTGCTAGATTGTCTAGAGATGGGGGGGCTGTGGTGAAATGCACAAGCAGCCTTTCTGGTCCCGGAATCCCGCGCCAGATGGGCCGTGGGCTGGGCCTGGAGTCCTCCTCTACCAGTCACTGCTCCTGCAAAGGGGGCTCCAGGCGGCCAGAGATTTCCCATCGCTTCAGGCTCCTCAGGTTTTCTGCAACTAAATCCCTGGTGCTAGATTGTCTAGAGATGGGGGGGCTGTGGTGAAATGCACAAGCAGCCTTTCTGCCGGGCCAAGGGAAAGACCATGCCACGGACTAAAGGGTTTCTCTGTAATAAATACACAGATCAGGGAGGCAATAAAAGGAACAAACAAAATCAAGTGACTCGGGAGCCGGTTCCATTGACACTGAATGAAATTTGGCTTCCCAGTCGCCTTTGGGCTATTGCAAAACGTGCCCCCAGAAGGCGGATTCTCCCAGGGGCTCTGCGCTGCGCGCTGTGAGCGCCATGGCACGCTGCCCCGGGAGGCACGCTGTGGGCTGAGCTGGGTTCAAGAGCTGGCCCGTCCTTTGGGCGCTGCGTTTTCAGAGATCTGGGGTGGGGGATCCACCCTTCACATGTGCAAAATGTGAAACATCGGCACGGCCCTGGCGGGGGGAGATTAACGAAGCCAGGGGACATTTCAACCTAAGCGTGTGCGCCTAATGCAGAAACCCGCTCAGGTCCTAACGGCCGCTGCCTCAGTTCTAGTCCAGCTTCTGCTGCCTTTGTTGCTCTTTTCCTGGAGTTTGTGGGTTTTGTGGAATACCGACGTGGTACAATGCAGGACGGGGGACAGGCGCCCCGAGGGGACTCGGTAAAGCTAAACCGAGCAAAGAGGCACTTAGTGGTCAGAGTCTCAATTCTACGGGCTTGTCTAGACACACAAATTGAGTCAGTTGAACTGCATGGGGGTGGAAAGGAAAGAGAGTAAGTTATGTGGCACACGGACACCGGCACGGAACGGCCACCGCCCGGCCTGGCGGCTCTCCCAGGACACAGGCTCCGTGTAGCTCTAGCCTCGGGGGATTCGCAGTTACACCATTGAAAATGCCCCCGTCGGGCCTGCTAGCACTTGGCACTATGTGTACCGACGGCAGTGACTTGTATTGATGTCAGGTGTGGGGCACCGCAGCCTGACACGTCTCCGGGTTCCCCTGACACTTTCCCTGCGTTTCGCCCGTGGCTGTAGACGCCTCCCCCAGCCCCCGGCAGCACCAGGCTGGTGCTAAGGTTGCACAGTCAAGTCCTCTAAAGTTAGTAAATGCCTGAAGTAAGCTTGGCTGTTCAACCTTCGTCTCCCCCTCCCCCCGGGCCTGTGTATTTTGATACAGTCTTAATTACACGATCAAACGCTGTTTCGCCTCAAGTCCCCGGCCCAGTGCCCAGGACAGCGGGCACGTCGTGGACGAGCACCGAGTTGTTTTCTCCTCGTGCGACACGTGGCCCGGCCCTTAGCTAATTCCCCATTCCAGCCTTGCTCGGAAGACAGAGATGAAAGGCCAAAGGGGTTCGGATTCGGAGGGCCCTTGTTCGGCAGGAGGCTTGGTGCCACACCAAGTGTTGCTTCTGGTGACGAGCCCGGCACCCAGGAGTCCCCTGGGGCAGCAGCCAGCTCCCTTAGCCACCACCCGCCCCTCCTTGGCCTTACACAGTTCGGCTCCGGGCACAGCGCAGGGTCTGACAGACACGCTGGTCGCTGCCCACTCAGCCCTGTCTGGCACCCGGGAGGAGGCGGGGCTCTTGTGGAAAGAACAGTGGGTAGGGAACGACTGTGTGGTCCTGCGCACACGCCGGGACGACTGACGGCTGCCCAGGCAGCTTCACTCCATGCTGGGCCTTGCTGGACCCCCGGCAGCGCCTGCCACGCTGACCTCGTGGACCTACTGCCTGGAAAGTGTTTCCTTGTGCAGGGACGTGCGTTCTCTGGCAAGGCCCCACAGGCAGCAGGAGACCCCGGTTCTGTTCCCAGCTCTCCTGCGGACTCTGCATAGCTGTAGCCAGCCTGCTCCCCCTCTCCGTGCCTCCATTTCCCCTGTGTAGTACAGGCACGACACCACCTCCCCTTTGTACAGTGCTTCCCGCTAGACAGCGCTTCCCGGGGACAGGCAGTGAGTGGTGTAGCCAGAACCTCTCTCATCCAGAAACAGCCGTCATGCAGATCGATTTCAGCGAGCCAGACGGCCACTTTTCAAGGGGGTGGCCAAGTTCTCCGCAGTCCCGTAAAGTCTGTTAGAGCCCCAGCCCTGCCTCTCAGGGCCCTGTACCGTTCCGTAGCCGGGCTCTCAAAGCACAGTGAGCAGTGGAAGCGCGAGTAATGCGGCTAGAAAATACTGACCTCCATGGTCCGGAAAACGCTCGTGTTTGGAACCGGTCTGGTCCCGATGGTGCCGGATGAGAGAGGTTCAACCCGTATCGCCTGCCACCGCAGCCCGGCCAGTGCAGGGGCTAGGAATGAACCAGAGACGAGGTGAAATAACCTGAACCAAAGCTCAGCAATCCTGGGTCAGACCAACGGGCAGGGGGGTGTCCCCGGCCTCTGCGTGTCCCAGGCTGGGAACGGGTGACCGGGAGGGGCCACGTGCGGATTCCCCGTTCCATCCCCCGAGGGCAGCTGGCCCTGGCCGCTGTGGCAGACCGGACCCTGGGCTGGGTGGGCCTTTGGTCTGGCCTGCGTGGAGACGATGGAACGGGGCCCATCGGTGTCTGTGCGCGTCCTGCTGTTGGGGGCTCGCCCGCCAGGCTGCTGCCAGGCTCTGAGCTCTGCAGCCAGAAAATCAGCCGAGGGCCTAGCTCTGCAAACCCCTCAGAGGAATCACAGTTATAACCACCATCAGCAAACAAAACTCTCCAGCATGCAACCACATCCCCTTCGCGGACCTGCGCCCGGCAGCAGAACCAACCCAGAGCACCTCTGCCTACGCTGCAGCTCACCCGGGGCTCAGGCTCTCTCCCTCTTGCTAAAAAGCAGCCCCCCCGC